AATTCACTTAAGTAGCCTTTTTTTAGCGTGTTTTAAAAGACGACGCTTGTTAATGAGAGATAAGGTTTTCAAAGACGGGTGAAAATTTGAAAATTTATCAAGCGCGAATTTACTTAAGCGGCCATTTTTTAGCGTGTTTTAAAAGACGACGCTTTTTTAAAAAAAACGGTCATCTTTACATATAATAAACAACCTTTTTTATAAATAAAAAAACCGTTGTCTTTACATATAATAGACGACGGTTTTTTATAAAAAGCGTCATCTTTACATATAATAGACGACCCTTTTTTAAAAAACACCGTCATCTTTACTTCACAATAGACGACCCTTTTTTACAAAAAAGCGTCATCTTTACATATAATAGACGACAGTTTTTTCAAAACAACCATGTCTTTACCAAAAAAAGGACACTTGATTTTTTAAAGACGACGCTTGTCATATCTTCTGTCATCGTTTTTTGGTCAGATTTTAACTCTGAAGAAAACTTTTTAATAAGACGACGCTTTTTTATTTGTGTGCGTCGTTATAAAAAAATATTCAATAGTACCTCCGTTTTTTAGTTGTTTAAGTCACTTATCCACGACGGTTTTTTTGTTACCGTCGTCTTTTTAAACACAACGACGGTTTTTTCTTCTACCGTCGTCTTTTTCTGGTCATCTTTTTCACTTTTTGTAGTAGTGATATCTCGTCTCTTGTAAACCTGTTCAGGAAATAGTACCATTTGATAGAAACTGAAAAAACTGTAAACAAGAAGAAATATTCCTGTAAAGAAAAACTTGTCAAGTGAAATTAAAATGAGTTCAAGAGAGAATAAATACATATAATTGAAAGAACCGAACAGCATCCTCCACTGTGCACGTAGACATGTTGGATAAAACCTACAATGAAAAATACAACAATTCAAAAACCTAACTACACATGTATTAGCTCAAACTGTACAATGAGCATTAGCAGACTAACTAGATATAAAAAAACTAGTTTCCATTTCAACACCTATTTCTCTTGAGCATTTTTCTCATTTCCTTCTCTTGGACCCGTGCTTCTTTATATAAATTTATACCAAAATCATGCAAAATAAAAGAATATATAAAAGAAAATTTCTAACATTTTCGAACCTTGATATTATCCGACTTTTACTTTTGTATTTTCTGTAACCTTTATATTAAAAAAACAAAAACAAAAAACTGCAATAGGGCCATTTTAATACAATGTTTAAGCCCATTTTACAAAGGACAATGCTTGGCTCCTGATACATCAGGAGCCATTCCTCCTCAACAATGATGTGGCCTCTTTAAAAAATGACACATGTTT